CCAAAACAGAGGAGTCTTTTCTCCCCTCTGCACTCTCAAAAGCACGCACAAAGCCAAAGCCCTCCTACATTGCCCCAACCCTCTGGATAAACTCTATGATCCTAGTTATTTCCGTCCAGCCACTGCCCACCTCATGCTCTGTGTTCCATGTTTTTTTATTAACTGTTCCGTCAGCCTGGAGCATCTGTGTCCCGCTTTGTTCACCTAGGACCTGCAACTCATCCTTCCAGACTCAGCATCATCCCCTTCTATGAAGCCTGCCCCAAACTCTGATACCAGAGAGGTCTACGCTCCGGGCCATCCCTGGGTACAGCACACACCACGACCGGCCCTTTCTATACCACCCTACAAGCTCATGTGCCAGCACATCTGCCTCCTCTTGGGACAGCCTCCTGCCTATGCTCCTGGAACCCGGGACTGGGGCAGAACTATGAGCCAGCACACTGCCTGGCCAAAACAAGGCACTGGCAGGTGCAGGCTTGGTAGGGTGGCAGGGGGCTGGGTACTGGCAGCAGAGGAAAGCCCCTCAACTCCATCCAGTGCTCTAGCCCAGGCTTGCTGCTCTTGGGTAGAGTCACCCATCACATGTCAGGACGCTGCCGCCACCAGGATGATGTTACAGTCTATTTTGAGGGTCACACTGGAGCATCTGTCAGCCTAGCCAGCCACACCCTCCATGTGTCATCACTAAGAGCTGGAGACACCCACAGGTCCACGAACTCTGGTTAAGCAAATCTTCTCCCTTTGAGACCTCAAGCTTCAGGGCTTCTTATAGCAAGATCAACTCAGATGGCCCTTATCTCCCGGCACCACCAGCCAGGCTCTGACATCACCACACCCCACCAGATCTGCTTCTGGGGTTCCCAGCTCTGGTGACTTGGCAAAAAGCAGCTTAAGCCCATCCATCCGTGCCAAGCTCTCAGCCCAAGCACAGCCCACCTTCTCTTGCTCTCCCTTATATTTAGGGATCAACCAGAAAGACCAGCCCCTGGTCAAGCTAGATACCAACCAGACTCAAGCTGATAGATGCTGGCTTCAGCTTTGTTCTCCTGCCACCTAGCCCAGGTTTGGCACAGAGTAGGTGTAGAGATACTCTATGAAACCTTAAAATGGAAATTTCAAAACACTCAGTGTAGGCTTCTACCAAAGACACTTATCAGAACCAAAATTTTTTGAAAAACAATGACACTGACAACTGAGTTCATAAAGACTTTCACAAAAGAGGCCCATATGAAACCTAGAGAAAGTATACAGATTCGGTGGGATGACAAATCCGCCAATCAAGCCCATTCCAGAGCACAAAGTACTTCTCTGGCCCCACTGAGCACTAAGACCTTTCAGCTCTGTCCCCCATGAACACAGTGTCCCCCCTGAGAACCCATCCAGACACTCCTTTACTCAGGGAAGGAATGCAATGGGGAAGGCAGCAGCAGCACAGACACACGTATCTGGGGCCGGGCACGGGCACCTGACAGGTTAGGTTACTCTACTGCACACCCTAAGCCCTGCAGCCGGGGCAGGTCACCAAATATCCTAAGGGCTCAAGGCTCTCTCACAAAACAGGTACATCATCATCTACTCAGTCACTCTCAGAGATGCCATGAGGCAACCACATAGTACAGGAAAGCTACACAACCGGTTAACACCTGGGTCATGGAGCCCAGGTCGGAAACACACCCCCAAAATCAACAGGAAACAAGCTGATCAATGTCTGCCAGTAACTGCCCGTGGCCTCCTCAAAAACACACCTGGTCCCACAACATCTGGCTACCCCTGTTCATAAGAAGGTGGTCATTTATTCCAAAAAGAGGCTGCAAGGGACCCTGTATTGACCATCTGACAGTGGTCAACCAAAGCAGGATATAACAGGCCTACATACCATGGACCTTTTTAAAGCCAGGATTTCCACATCAGTTTAATGCCTACACTCACTACATGCTGGCAATGGAGTTTGGGAGAATTCTTTACACTTGCAGGCAACACTGTCTGGAAAGAAATCGAACAAGACACAGGAACCTTTTTCAGCAAGATCTACTTAGAACTGAAATGTTGAAAAGTAGATGGAGCAATCCAGACCACTATGTTAAACACTCCACTTTTGAAAGGCTTTTCTCTCACTAGCTTAACTATTATCTATGATAAAGACCATCCAGAAAACAATTTATTTTCTTCCCTACTCTTGGGCAATGTGACACTAAAGCACCAACAATTCAGCCAACATTATAGCTATTTTTTCACTGTTTGTTTTAAGAGGCCATTCTCATTCACCCTAGTTCAAGCACAGTAAATATGTGTGCTTATCAGATGGTGAAAAGGGAAAATAAACGCTTTTAATAGCCTTCAGTAATTTAAGTTTCCTATTATAAATGCACTAGAGAGGAATAAAAGTGAAAGATACAATGTTGTGTCATGGTCAGAATTTCAGTCACAGGATTCTGGGTTAAAGGCAGCTGAGATGTTGGTCGAGAGCTGCAAAGTCCCATGATTCACCCACGACCACACAGCCCTCCCAGGCAGGGCTATTGGAGCATCGCTGAGGAAACAGGCAGAGCTGGGAGGCACAGCCCCTTGACCGGGCACCTTACATGCATCACAAGAGAGACAGTCCTTAAGAGAGTAAGGATTCTGAAAACTCAAAAACACACATGGTGTTGGTACAAAGATAACTGGTGGGGCTGGCAAAATTCCCATCTTCCCAAGGCAGTGGCAATCGTGTTATTTCATAACTTATACACCTGCTTTGTCACAACCACTGGATAAAAGACAGAATGAGAGAAAAAGAAAAAGAAAAAAAATCTCCCCTCTGATTTCCGGTGTTTGCTTAGCTCACCCTAGAATAGGAATCCTCCCTAATGCTGACTTTAATGAGGACCTTCCTAAAGCTGGTCCAACTGGTGTTGAAGTCCTGGACTGAAAAACAAGTTTATGAGCAACAAGGTCACCTGATTGTGACCATGTGCATGCTGTTTACCCTGAGATGACAGACCAGTGGCTGCCACAGCTTTGATGAATGCTGGAAAGACTCTACTATCCCTTTGAAGCCTCTAAGTGACTAAAGCCATAAAAAGGAACATTAGATGGAAGAACAGTGTGAAAGGAGGTAAATCATAGACACCACAAAACAGTGGGGGAAATCCCATTCTTAAAGAACACTGAGTTGTTAATGTAAGTTTGTTTCCCTGACCTGTGAGGTATTTCATTACATCAATAAAGAGAAGGTCCCTCCTCCACCTCCAGTGCATCCACTTGCCATCAAGGACTGCTACTTTAACTAGGACATAACCACAGGCAGGTAACAGAGGTAGTCCACTATTCAACTCTCTGCAGCACAGATGGCTCAGAAGCTCAAGAGACCTGGAACTCTGACCACAGATGTCAAGTCAGCTCCAGGGAACAGCTCCCTGTTGGGGGAATAAAAGGATGGACAACTTACCCATCTCTTCCTTTGCTGACAATCTTCACCTCAAAGTAATAGATGCCACAAGCAGCAGGTATAGGGTGGGTGGCACGGACTGAGGCCGCATCTTTGTGATTTTTGCCATGACCTAATAGGAGAAAGCAAGGAAAGCTTATCAGCAGAAGGAAAAAGAATGGAAGTCTCATTCTTCTCTGCTCCATGGCAACTCCAACCCTCCATAGCCAGAGGAAGACTTTACATAGTCCAAGGAATAATTAGACAACTGAACAAACATATATACCTCCCACCTTTGGCTTACCTCCTCCAGAGAACAGCAGCCCTGCAAAAGACACTATCTCCCATGCAAACTAAATGGGGCAGCAAGCAATGTGGGTGCAAGTGAGAGGTTCATGAAGGCTGCTGGCAGTTTCTCCAAAATATAAGCAGCCCACCTGGGAGCCCAGGATGGGAGTAGTCCTGAAAGACTCCACCCCCCCTCTTCCCACCTTTAGCACAGAACCCCAGGCCCAATCTGGGATGCACAAGCCCACGAATTTCTGGCTAATGGAGAGAACGTGACACCTTTCTTCAGATACTCCCCAAACTAAACAGCAGGTGTAGAGCCCAGCTGGAGTTGGGAGTTATCCCAGGTCGAGCAGGAAGGCCTGCGGGGTAGAAGATCGAGCACAGCACTGCATCTGGACACCTGTTGCAGATCTCTTGACATCGGGTGTCTCAGGGCAGAGCAGACTAGGCAATCAGTCCTTGGCCTGGTCAACCCCACCACCCTGGACATCCCACAGGAGTTAAGGCCCAACGCGGAGCACCCCGGCCGGGGAAGGGAGGAGACAGGGCAGGCGCCTGAGCAGCAGCGACGCCCTGAAGATGCTTTGGCCTTTCCTCCAGCCGGGGGCTAAACTGGCTCATACCTTTGTAGTGGACGCGGAGGTTGCCCTGGGAGAGGCCGATGTAGTTGTACTTGTCCTTGGGGCTCCAAGAACGCGGCAGCGGCGTCTCGTGCTGGTTGACTGCAGGGTACAGGCGCTGCAGGCGCCGGCTCAGCTCCTGCTCCCCCGGGGAAGGCAGCCCGCCCCCAGCACCCCCGCCGGAGGAGTCTCCAGCCTGCGGGCTCCCAGCTCCCGGGTCCGCCGTCGCCGCCGCCATCTTGGAGGGAGCTGCTATTGTGTCACTGGGGGCGGGGAGGAGCGGGACCAGATCCGCCCCGCTCAGCCAATGGCCCGCGAGCCAGCCAGGGCCGCAGGGAAACCGAGTCCGAGTCCGGCACCTCTCTTTGGACATTGCCACGCCTCGCCACACTTCGGACTCCATATCCCATAATGCAGAGCTCTCCAGAGGCGGGGCAACGCAGGCTGGCAAGAACCTTGGGAGATGTAGTACAACCTGCTCAGTCACAAGCCTATACGCCGAGACATAGAGACACCGAAAACTACAATTCCCATTTGCAATAGGGCTCCGGCCACTCAGTTCACCTCCCACCCCCAAGGCCTCTGTTTATCCCCCTGCCTCGGTTCTGGTAGTTAGGGTCAAATTCGTTGTGGTGACTGACTCTAAGGGACTCTAAGGGAACCTCGCACCCGGATCGATGTGCTTCTTTGCTACTTGGTCTTACTCTCAGCCCGCGCTGACTGGGGTCGGGGCGTGGCACAACTCTGACTCCGCCCCCGCCGCTAGGCTGCTGGGGGCTGGTCGCCATGGCGACGAGCTGTACACTACCTCGGCTTTCTGGGCGGTGAGTGCCGCCTGCCCGACTGCCTGAGGGATATGGCCTCTCCGAAGCCAAAGACACGGTTGTCCACTTTCGCGTCTCCGTCGAGGTAGGCGCTGGCAAAGTTGAGGGCGGAGAGGAGGGCGTAAGTGCTTGCATAAATGGTACCTAATCTGTACCTCTGCACCTCCTACCGCTGTCCGTTGGTCCAGGGCTGCAGCCCCAAAGAATCAGTGATGCAGAAACAGGATATGACTTGTCAGCTCGAAGAGTATGGGGTAGCAAAAGAGCAGGAGCACTTTATCATGACTAACAACCACCTGTCTTGTATTGAGCATATATTATGTTCTAAGTGCTTTATGTACCAGATTTAACCCCCCAACAACTCTATGAAATAGTACTATCAGTTTACACAGGAAGAATAGATGCCTGGAGAGATTATGTGTTTTACACATATTATAAATGGTGGAGCAGAGCTAGGATTTCACACGCATAACTTCACAACCCAGCGACGTGAGACTCCTGAAACTGAGCTCTTAGCCACAGGGATAAACTGTCTCTTCGCCCACCGAAGAAACTTGTCAATTGCTGGCTGACTCTAGGCAGCCCAAATACATCTACAACCTCAGGGTAGCTCCAGAGGTGTAGCTTCTGGTCTGCAAAATATGACAACACACTCTGTTAGCCAGGAAAACCACAAAGTATACGAACTTAAACACAAAAATTGGGTAAATACCTTTCAAGTTTTGGAACTTCAGAGGTTTGTGAAGTTTCAATCCCTATCACTGTACCTCAGTGATAGGGATGATACAGCCCACCTCACAAACATTGTAGAGAACATTAAGGCAAGAAATGTGAAGCTTTCCTCACAATTCATACATAAAATAGACATTCAGTAAATTTAATGAATCTAGTTTCTTTTATTCCTTGTGAGGGTTGGGGAAGTAATCTCATCTAAACTCTAATCCTTCATGATCTGCTGCCTTTAAAAAAGCCAACAGGGCCTCCCTGATGATGCAAGGGGTTAAGTAGCAGCAGCTATCTGCAGCAAGAATTTGATCCTTGGCCAAGGAGCTGACCCACATGGCGCAGCAGACCTCTTCTGTCTCACCTGCTGCTCCCTTCAGCAGTGTAATTCGCAATCTGCCTGTTCTGCTCCCTACTCTTGTCTCTGGTGAACCTTCTCACCCCCTGCACCTCTGGCCTGTACCCAGTTCTTGTGTGCATAAATGAATATTTTTTAATGCCAACAAAGTGTTCTCCCTGGTGGTCTAGGGGTTAAGTCTCAGCATTATCAATACTACAGCCTGAGTTCAATCCCCCCAAGTGAGCTGACCCGCATATGGCATAACAGACCTCTCCTATCTCACCCACTGCTCCCCATAGCAGTATGTTTCAGTAGATCTGCCTATTCTGCTTCCCTCACACCTCTGGCCTACACCCCAGTTCTTCTATGCAAAAATAAATTGATCTTTTTTAAAAGCTTGCAAAAGTCAGAAATTAAATGCCAATTTGCTTATTTTAGCCAAGCAGGCTTGAGGATAAATATAGTTACCCAGTGCAGGATTTTAGGAAACTGTAGTAATATTTGGAAGGAATATAAAACAGACTCTTGAGAGTTTAACGAAACATTACATAATGGCTGAAGTGAAATTTGATGGCAGTATAAAATATCATTCTGTTGGGGGAAAAGATGTCCTGAATGAACTCCACAAACAAAGGTTTTATGGACCCTACCCTAACCCTAACCCATTCAGACCAAAGAGACCCAAGATACCAAGCACTACAAATCCCATAATGTCATCACTACTGAAGGTAGGATTGCTGGGAACTGAGGGTGGAATTAAACAGCCAGGACTGGTATAGGACCAGACATGTGGGCCTTGGGGGAGGCCTTGGGTTTTTTGCCAAGTTTCAGTGTACTATTGGGGTTCCAGCTAAGTGGAACTGGTGGGACATATTCAACAATTTACCACTTTTTCATACTGAGTTATTCCTTTTTCATTTCCCTTTTCTGTAAACAAACCCTTTATCAACTTTTTTGTGTGTACCTGCAGTTACATTTCATTACAAGTCCTTTTTAAGCACTCAGGTGGGAACCCACACTCAGGCTATCCCATTTCACATTGGAGTTGCCCTGTAACAGTTGGAAAGACTCTACAGATATATTAGCAGTACCCTTTACAAGAAACTGTTCATCTGTGTGTTCATCTGGGGTAGATTTTTCCTCCCCCTTGGCTTTCTCTGTTACCCTCTCAGCCTTAGCACAGTAGATGGAACTCAGCAACTTGAATCCACTCAATACCAGGGCAAACCCCTGACAAATACACTAACTTGTTATGAGTTAAGTAACTTTCTTCAGTTTTGAAGTAGACATTTAAGTCACTGTTTCCCATTCATCTTTGGGGATTGGCATAACATATCTAATAGAATAATAAAGATTATTATTATTATTTGCAAGTCTATTTTTCATTGTCGCCTCCTAAAATATTCAGAACTAATGTCCATTACCTATTGTGCTTTCCACTTGTCAATGCCTCGAGATTTATGGAGATCCCCAAGGCTGTTTTTAAAAAGATTTTATTTATTTTTGCACAGAAGAACTGGAGAGCAGGCCAGAGTGCAGGGGGGTTGAGAGGATTCACCAGAGACAGAGTGGGGACAAGTCCAGGCAGATCTGATATACACTGCTGAGGGGAGCAGTGGGCAAGACAGGAGAGGTCTGCTGTGCCATACGCGTCAGCTCCCTGGCCGGAGATCAAACTCAGGCCATTGTGATGGGACTCTGTGGTGGTAGAGCTGAGACTCTACCCCTAGGCCACCAGGGAAACCTCCACACACACTGTTTTCTTGCTTATCTTGTCTTTGTGGTAATTCCAGCAGAGTTTAGAAAATTGATAGGTCTTAACAGGAAGGTACTCCAGTGAGTAGATGTATCCATCTGTTGTATCCTGTCTCAAACCCATGACTGTCTAGACAGAACTCCTTTTTCTACACGTCTACTTATTCTACATGTCTTGCTCACACTTGTGCAATTGGGAGACAATAGAAGACTGGAGAGTCTTCATTGTCACTGCTTCATGGAGGAAGACTGAGGAGCCCTGTAGGACTTATTTCCCCACTGGATAAGGGTTCCAGTGTGGCTTTCAACTTCCCAGGATTTTGAGTAGACCTACTCACATTTTTATGGACAAAGACTCTGAGGTTCAGAAAGGTTAAATATGCCCATGATTAGACCCTCCCTGGTGACACAAGGGTTAAAGCACAGCACTATGAGGCTGTCCCCTGCCACTGCGGCACATGTTTGTTACCCGGCCAGGGAGGTGACCCACTGGCGTGGAGACCTCCCCTGTCCCGCCCCGTCAGCTGCTCCCCTCAGCAGTATATTGACAGGCAGTCAGTTTGCCTGTTCTTTTCCCTCCTCTGTCTCTGGTGAAGCCTCTCGCCCCCCTACACCTCTTGCCTGTATCCCAGCTCTTGTATGCATAAATAAATCTTAAAAAAATATATGGCCAAGGTGACCAGTTAGTAAGGGGAATGAGGCACAGGTCTGTCTGGCAGCATAAATCACCATGCCACCCCTAGCACGCATTACTGGAATTACTTCCTTCTTTGGTTCTACCTGGATCTGCCCCAATATGCAGCCATCCCTATTGGCCCCTTAATTGCCTTCGAGTCTGAGCAAGGCTCACTTCCCCAGAGACCTAGTTGTTAAAATCGCCTTAGGATCCATTTCTCTCCCATCCTGCTGTCATCAAAAACATCTGTGCAGCTCCTTGCAGTTTATAGACTATTTTTGCATTCTCTTTTACTCTTATTTAAGCTTCCAACAACTCTGAGATAGGAAAAGCAAGATTTTCTCCATTTTTCCTATGTGAAGACAAGGCTGAGAAATTTAATGACTTGTCCAAAGGGGTCCTGTTAGAAAGATGTCAATCCCTGGACCCTCTCTGGTGGCATGACGAGTTAAAGCACAGCACTATGAGGCTGTCCATAGCCACTGCAGCACGAGGCCAATCCCTGGCCAGAGAGGTGACCCACATGGCTTGACAGACTTCTCTTGTCCTGCCAGCTGCTCCCCTCAGCACTGTATTTCAGTCAATCTGCCTGCTCTGCTCTCCACTCTGTGGTGAATCCCCTCATCCCCTGCACCTCTGGTCTACACCCCAGTTCTTGTACACATAAATAAATATTTTTTAATTTTAAATAATAGTTTACTTTTACATCATTTTGTGCCTTTTTCTATCTCAGTTGTAATCCCCATGGGCTTCCCATCACCAAATCACCCATGTGCCATCACCATAGTCCAGTGCACTTCCAATAAATCTTTTTTTAAAATGCTAAGAAGAAAAATGTCAAGCCCTGTGACCCTGTCAGCCAGTAAGTTGAGACTGGAGAATCATACCCCAAGTGTTATGCTTCTTGCTTTGGTATGACTCCCCCAAAGTGTGCCAGTTACTCACATCACACTGACATTGTAGTGTCAGCTGAGCACACTGGTAGTATGGGCCCACCAGGTCCTGGGCTCCTGGAGCAGCAGTGAGTGGGTGAGACTCATGATGAATATAGGAAAATGGTTTGGGCCCAGGCCCATGAGCTGATTGACAGGATCTCTGGGAATCTAGAGGCAGAGCTGGGAGCGCCCAAAGCCTGGCTCTCAGGGCAGATGGCACCATTTCTTATGGCTGTGAGAAAGGTGGAAAGCTCTGCCACTCACCCTGCCTTCCCCTTCCTTGCGCAGAACACATGTGGGGCCTTCAGGAGTCACCAGAGATGATCCAAGCTTCCCAAGAATCAAGAACTTCCAAAAACGCAAGACTTCTCAGAAACGGGAAGGGCTGGTTAGTGGTTTCATCCTGTTGGGACCCCAAATATCAGCTCCCAGACCCTATCTGCCTCCCTCTCTGTAACACCAAAACACCAAACACTTGAAACATGCCCCGCCGAGTGGTTTCTCCCCAGTCAGGGCGTATGGCCCAGAGGCTCTGGGTGGGGGTGTACACTGGCTACATGGCTTCTGGAAAGTCTTCACAGGGATCCCTGGACAGCTCAGCTATCTGGACCACGTCTCTTCAAGCCTGTCAGGTGCCAGACAGACTGCCACGTGCCAGCTAGGATCTAGAGTTGTCGCAGCAGATCTGCCAGTATCCTTCAGGGCTGTGACTGGATCTATTTGTTTTTACGGACCCAACTTAATAGGGTACTTGAACGGCTGCCATATATTTACAGCTCCAGAAACGCTGTGTATGCAGGCTTGACGGGGCTGGAGATACTTTACCAGCCTGAGGAAAGGTCCTACCCCCATTCCTGTTTTTTAAAGTATTTCTATAAAAAGGAATGCTGTCTCAGTAAGTACTTTTATTGACACGCTCACAGGATTGTTATTTAGTGAATAGACAGCCATTGTCCAAATCTCACAGATGAAAGGACACACTTGAACATATTTGTAATTCCAGCTCACAGTGGAGCACTGCAGGCTGTTTGGTTAGTGGCTTTCCTTGTGTGAATGTCACCCTGGAGAATTTGGGGCCATATGGGCCACACGCTTTATGAGGCTACCAACTCCCAACATGTAGACCCTAACTCCAGGAAGCAAGAACAGGGAGAGAAGTGTGGGCTCTGTGGAGACTAGGCGCATCACCAGCCTCACAAGACCAAATGACTTGGGGCGTCCTCCTCCCACCGCAGGGGGCCCCCCTTCCTTCTCTGTCGGTAGCCTCCTATTCCCTGCATCTGAGACCCGGCTCTCTCTTTTGTGCGGTGGTGGCAGAACCACCAGGGGGCGGTGTTCCCCCGCGCTAGCCACCCCTTAGGCCTTCCTTCCCGTCTCCGCCTGCAGGGAGAAGCAGAGAGCACTAAGCACCCCGGTTCCCAGGCCAGCATGGGCTGCGCCTTCCCAGCTGTTAACAGCCAAGCCAAGATGCAGAGCACAAAGCAGGGTGACCACGTTCTCCCCAGGCAGACTAAATACCACGACTTGCCGTTTGAAAAACTTGTCACTAATCCCCCAGGGTTAGGTACTTCTTGGGCAACTTTCCAGCTGTCTTCCCAGGTTACTCTGCAATTACATAAAAATTATATCACATCATCTTTTAAACAAAAATTTGACTTCATTTTTTAACTTCTCTCATTTTTCCAGCTTTTCTATTCTACTTTTATTATTTATTTATTTATTTTTGAATATTTATTCATTTATGCATACAGAACTAGGGTATAGGCCAGAGGTGCAGGGCTGTAAGAAGCCTCACCAGAAACAGAGTGGGGAGCAGGACAGGCTGACTGATGAGTACACTGCTGAGGGGAGCAGTGGGCAGTCAGGGGAGGTCTGCTGTGCCATGGGGGGTCAGCTCGCTGCAGGGGATGGAACTGGTGCTGCAGTGGCTGGGACTAGCTCCGTAGTGCTGTGCTTTAACCTGCTGCACCACCAGGGTGGGCCCTCTCTTCTACTTTTATTTTTTGTTTATTGTTCTTTTCCTCCTCTAGCAGCTCAGAGGCATCTTTTCTAACAGTAAAAGTATTTCAGGCCCTCCCTGGTGGCGCAGCAGGTTAAAGCACAGCACTGAGAATCTAAGGCTGCTTCCGCATGAGTTCGATTCCGGCCTGCCCCGGAGGTGACCACATGGCGTGGCAGACCTCTCCTGGCCCGCCCGCTGCTCCTCTCAGCAGTGTACTTCATCGATCTGCCTGTTCTGCTCCCCACTCTGTCCCTGGTGAATCCTCTCACCCTCTGTATCTCTGGCCTGTACCCCAGTTCTGTATGAATAAATAAATCTTTTAAAAAAAAGTATTTCAAGTAATTAAATATCTTGAATGCTTCCCTGACCATTTTCTGTTTTAAATATGTACATTTTTAAAAGATTTATTTGGCCCTCCCTGGTGGCACAAAAATAAATAAATCTTTTATTTTATTTTTTTAAAGATCTATTTATTTATGCATACAAGATTTGGGTTATAGGCCATAGGTGCAAGGGGTGAGAGGATTCATCAGAGACAGAGTGGGGTGTAGAACAGGCAGACTGACTGAAATACACTGCTGAGGGGAGCAGCGGGCAGATCAGGAGAGGTCTGCCACACCATGTGGGTCAGCTCCCGGGCTGGGGATGGAACTCGTCCTGCAGAGGCTGCGGATAGCTTCATAGTGCTGCACTTTAACCTGTTGCGCCAACAGGGAGGGCCCAATAAATCTTTTAAAATAAAATCAGGAAGGGAAGGAGGATACAGAGGAACATCAGGAGGGGGAGCAATGCTGTAAGGTAACTGCATGTGTCCCTTCCTGCAGTCCTATCAGTTCTCCGCAGGTGATCTGTCCCCATGGCCCACACACACCAGTGGCCAGACCATTCTGTGTAATCGAAAGCCCTGTTCAGAGGACTACCGGAAGCGAACAGGGTAAGCTGTGGTGGGCCTGTGCTGAACAGGGGTGTGCTACCCCAGGCCCAGGTGCAAGGGCCCTGTAGGGTGCCTGTCACATCTCAGTCCACCATTCCTGCAGCAGCTGGCAGCACCAGCCCCTGAACACTGCCAAGCCCAGGTACCTGGAGCAGCTAGAGAACTACCTGCGCAAGGAGCTCCTCCTGCTGGACCTGGGCAAGGATTCTGCCCAAGAGCTGAGGCTGCAGGTCAGATGGTGGAGAAACGCGGGGAGGGGAGGGGGCAGGGGGAAGAAGCTGCTCACCAATTCTGAGCACTTCAGACACTCAGGAGACCAGCCTTGCCCAGCTCTGACTCTTCTGGGTTCCCCTTCCTCTTCAAGGGAAACATATATGGTGTGATTGGGCAGTATGGAGCCAACCTCCTGATGTTCGGTTTTCCCGAAAGGACAGGATGCTTTCTGTGCTCCTCAGCGCCCACTGTGGTTGCTGGGCATCAGTAAAGGGAGGCTGAATGCTGGCCGCCAGGCGAGCAGGGGCCACACAGTTTCCACAACCCAAGCAACCACAGCCCCAAGCTTGAACAATTAGCCCAGACACAGAGAAAGAGAGAGAGAGATCTAGATGCGGACTAAATTCTAGTGCATACTGGGGAAGTCCCTAAGTCCTTGTTCAAACAGGGACAATGCGGGGGAATCCCTGACAGAGATTTGCTTTGCACCTGTGTGCCAGAACTTGGATAGGCCTTACACACCATCTCACAGCTGCAGGTCCCTACCCTACAAGGAACAGAAGCTTGGAGAAGGCCAAGGGCATTGGTGGGGGGGGGGGGCTGGGATTCTAACTCTCATGACTGATGCCAGGTCTGTACTCATTCCAGGACACAGTGCTCTCTCCCAAAACTTCCTACATGTGCAGGTGGGACAGGAAACCACACCTCTACTTGGTAGGCAGAATGTGGGGCTAGAACCTTCACTCTCCTCCTGCCCCTCCAGGGCTCTAAGATGATGAGGGGGTGCCAGTGAGAGGCCAATTGAGACACAACACATAGAAAAAAATGGCTATCTGGAAGGCCAGAGACGACTCAGTGCCTAGGCACAGAGAGGGAGGTCCCAACCCTGTGATCTGCCAGGCCTCAGAGCTGGCAGCAGGAGAGACCTCTGGGAAGCAGCTGAGAGGGACAGAACTGCCCCTCAGTCCCATGGCAGTGAAAGACCCAGTTGTTACCTGGGGCATTCATCTGACTGTGAGTCACTAGTAGCTATGTGCTGGGACACTCTGAAGTCAAGGAAAGGCAAACCGAGGTCCTACTGAGGGCAGCAGCTATGGGCCAGTAGCTAAGAGATTCCCTTTTCTTGACAGCCTTACAGAGAAGTCTTTGAGTTCTTCATTGAGGACTTTAAGACATACAAGCCATTGCTGTCCTCCATCAAGAATGCCTATGAGGTGATGCTGGGTAAGACCGTAGCTTCCCCAATGGGCACACAGCCACGGGCTGCGGCCTTAAGGTTACCAAGCCCTACTCAGTCTTCTGGCTCACACTGTCCTGCGAGAGGTGGCCTGTGGTGGGACACCTGACCACCTCCTGTCCTTTCCTACTGAGAGTGAAACTCAAGAGTCAGGGAGTACATCTGAGAGTGAAGAGGCTCCCCCAGCAGGCTTTGGAGGGGCCAGGCAAGGGGCAGCAGCAGGACTGAAGGCTGTAGGGGAGGGCTCACGTGAGCCCCTGGCCTTACCTGGACCAGACCCTGGTTTATATGCAAGCACAGAGGCTGTAAGCAAGGGCTGTGCTGTGAGCAAGGTATGCACAGATGCCTGGGGTCTGTAAGAGCCACAGCCACACTGACCGCAGGATCAGTGTCTCCCGGCTGTTCGCTGTCCCTGACCCAAGAGGAACTCTCCCACGTGTCCTTGGTTAGCCCAACAGAGGGAGAAGATTCGGGCTCTGGAGCCCCTGAAGGCCAAGCTGGTCACTGTGAATGAAGACTGTAACGAGAGGATCCTGGCCATGAGGGCTGAGGAGAGATACGAAATCTCCATACTGAAGAGAGAGAAGATGAATTTGCTGAAACTCATTGACAAAAAAAATGAAGAGAAGTTGGCACTACAGAGTGAGGTGAACGGAAGCAGTCTGGTGAACAGCTCCCTGTATTCCTGACACCCCACCCTTGGAGGGACCTTTGTCACTGAGGTGACCCCTAAACTCCACCCTTCTGCCTGAAATAACACTGAGCCACCACTTCCCCCCAGATGCCTGCTACCTCCACATCTGGGCCTCCTCCTCAGCTTAGCACTGGCTCTGTGCGTCAGAGTCCTGTTCCTCGGTGGCCACTCTCCATGGTTAGCAGCGCTGGCCCTTTGCTGGAGTCTCAGGAATGGCCAGCCTCCTTCTCCTCTCCTGTTCCAGTTCCCAGGTCCTCATGAGACCACTCAGCATCTGTCCCATTCCCTGTGGTGACCAGCTGCACATAGAACCCCAGAGGCAGCCTGACCATCTTTCCTAACAGGTGAGCAAACTGAGGAAGAGCTTGGCTCAGGAGTACCTGCACTACCTCACCGAGCGCGATGCCCGCAAGATCCTCATCGCAGACCTGAATGAGCTACGATACCAGCGGGAGGACATGTCACTAGCCCAATCCCCAAGTAAGCCCAAGGCTTCCTTTCCAGGAGGCACTGCAGAGGAGTCTGGATCTCACTACTCACCCCAATTCATTCAACTCTCCTAACATCTGCCCAGTCCTCAGCTGGTCATGACGGGAGATGTGGATATCTTCTGAGCTGGACTGAGAATCATAGAACCAATGTTTGAGTAGGAAACGATTGCTGGCAGCTGATGCAGCATAGATCCCCTGAGGGCAGGACAGGACTGGGACCCCATGCTCTGGGCTTCTCTAGTGAAGGCTGAAACTTTAAGCTGGTAGTGCTGTGGGACCAAGCAGGGGTTCCTAAGCAGGGAAGCAGAAGGGCCTGGGACTGCCCCAAGGGATGCTTTAACCCTGCCCTGGGCGAGAGATCCCAGAGTCAGGGTGATGTGAGCTGGTCGGGCCCCCTGGCAGGCGTCTGGGGGGAGGACCCCATGAAGCTAACGCTGGCTCTGAAGATGACTCGGCAAGACCTGACCCGCACTCAGATGGAACTCAACACCATGAAGGCCAACTTCGGAGACGTCGTGCCCAGGAGGGACTTTGAAATGCAGGAGAAGACCAATAAGGACTTGCAGGAGCAGGTGCTGGTGGGCGGGTGAGGCTGGGAGGGGCTGTGAGTGGGGAGCAAGGGCCAATCTCCTGGCCCACAGCTGGACAGCCTGAGAGCTGACTATGAAGAGGTCTGCAAGGAGCACGAGATCCTGCTGCAGCTGCACATGAGTACTCTGAAGGAGCGGGACCAGTTTTACGCAGAGCTGCAGGAGATCCAGCGCACCTCCACGCCACGGCCCGACTGGACCAAGTGTGAAGGTGACGGTGGCGTGGGGGCCCCAGGGACCGTTCAAGTGTGCGATCTGGACCCCAGAACCCTTTCCCCACCTGCAGGTGTGGTGAGTGGAGGCCCGGAACGTTGGCTTATGCTAGCAGAGGGCAAAAACAGCGACGAGCTGGTGGACGTACTCTTGGAGGAAATAGGCGAGGGGCTGCTCCGGGAGAAAGACTTCTTCTCTGGTCTGGTAGGCGAGTCCCTGGGCCGGGGATGGAGTGTGAGGGGAGGGTGGGGGTCAGTGTCAGAAGATCCAAGCCTGGCTGCTGGGAATGCCTGGGGTTCTGCCCTGTTTGAGGGTGGGTCCCAGAGATGAGCTGGTATTCTCCCTTCTAGGGCTATGAGGAAAGCACCCCCCCTTTCCTTCGCTTTGAAGGCAGTGTTCCAAACATGAAGCCAACCAAGAAGGCTGTGGTTGACCTCATCAAGGAATTCTGGAAGGAACGTCTTAGTGAGGAGCAGGTCAGATGTCACCACGCGTTTCAGTCTGAAGTGCTAGGGTAAGAAAAGGAAGCCAACTGACCATGTGCAGGTTCACCGGCCCGTCTTCCCCCTGACCCTGCAGAAAGAGAACTTCTCGGATTTCTTCTTCAATTTCCTGGAGCGTCGCTTTGGGCCTGGTGATGCCATGGCTTGGGCTTACACTATCTTTGAAAATATCAAGCTTTTCCGCACCAATGATATTATGAGTCAGTTCTATGCAGTCTTGATGGGAAAGGTGAGAGTGGGCCTGGCCCTCTACCCTTGTTCCCCACACAGGCCATCTGTCCCTACCCTAGGAAGCAGGAAGTTAGTGAATGCTTCCCTCCCAGTAGAACAGAGAGAGCGTGTACGTCAGGCAGAAGGAGATCATAGCCCAGCTGGTGAAGGAGATGTCAAGTATTGACAGCCAGAACGAGGGACTAATTACCATGGAACAGTTAAGGTAAGAGGTTGGCCCCCCCATCCCAAAGTCCTGCCCAGCGTTGCCTCTGGCCAGGCACCCAGGTATGCAGAGAAAAGGGGATCCTGGTGGGAGGGCACAGCCTCGGGGCTGGCTACCCTTTCGAGCACTCATGGGGCTGGTAGCGTGGGCACAGCGATGGGTGGCCAGGCCTTGGCCAGGCCCCTGTTGGCGCTCACATTTCCCCCCCAGCACTGTGCTCAAGAGCACCTTCCCCTTCAAGAAGGACGAGAGAATTCAGGAGTTGATGGAGGCAGGGGGCTGGCAACCTGACAGCAGCAACACAGATTTGCTCCAGTACCGTTCACTGTTTGTGGAGGTGTGTAAGGGTGTCAGAGTGGCCCAGCCCTACCCTAACTTCTGCTGAGCCCTAACCACTGTCTTGTGGCAGGACGAGGAAGGACAGAGTATGCTCTTTGTGAAAAAGCTGCGAGAACAGTGTTTGAATGAAAAGGACGAGTACTTACATGAGCTGAAGCAGGAGCTGGGCCTGGAGCTGTGAGTGACCAAGGGCCCTCCCGTCCACTAAGCCAGAGGCGGGGGTCTCTCTTGTGCTCTAGGCATGCTGTTGGATACTGCTCAGGTCTGGCAGTATCTTGGGGTTTAGGCTACAAAGAACGGTCAAGGCCTCTCTTTCTCTTTCCTGTGGGGCAGCCGTGAAGATGTGAACCTGTTCCGCCTACGTGAGGCCCTAATGAACATTGATCCCAGCCTGGACAAGCAGACCCTGAACAGCTATTTGAGCCAGGCCGTTCAGATCCCTGTGACAGAACTGCCAGAAGAGGGCGAGAAGGAAAAGGGCATTGTGGTAAATGTCAAGACCGTGCTGGAACAGCTTCACATGGCCGACGTCAGGCGCATGGGACCTCGAGAACAGGACCCTGCGAGCTAGGGCCTCTGGGAGTAGCCTGGGCGCTACATGCCGCTAACCCCTGACTTTTAGCATAAAATTGTTTGTCTGAACCCATGCTGTTCTCCAGGCGTGCTGGGAGTCCAGGGGAGAAGGGCTGGTTTCTGCCTGGCTGGCACCAGGATATACACCAAAGTCAGCGAGTTCTGTTTGTGACATTTATTGATGCTGGGGGTGGGGAGGTGCCCTAGAAGGGTATGTGGGCCAAAGGGTCCCGTGTGGCAAAAGGACAGGTACTGAGGTCCGACCACTACTGGGCCGGGAAGACAGAGTTGCCACTGAATGCACAAGGGATGAGGAGCTGCCGATACTCCAGGGGCAGGTGCCGCTCCACAAGCACATGCAGGGAGACTCGGTCGGTGACCAGGCCCTGCCTGCAGCAGAGGACAGAGACAGAGTCAGCGCCCCCGCTCCATCCCACGGCCCCAGCTTCTGCCCACTTACCTTCTCATCAGCAGCTCCAGGTCCTCTGGTCTCACAGTCTTGCGCCCGGCATGAGCAGCAAATACCTCTAGGTCATCACAAAGATGCTGGAAGTATTTGTCCAGGCTGCCAACAAGGCCAGTTAGAACAGACTGAACAAACTGCGCATGCTCTCAGTGGCTCCTCTCCCCGCCCCAAGTACCAGGACTCACCACTTCTCCACCATGTCAAAAGCCTTCTTCTCCATGGGCATCTTAGCATAGAAGCTAAAGAGTTTTGCATAGTGGCTCAACCCAGCCTTGTAGGAATCTTGGCGGAGCCTGGGGAGTCGGGCTCTGGGAGGAAGCCTGGCTGGCAGAGGTTCTGGATGCTCTAGAGGTAAACTGGGTACAGGAGTGGACAGTTAGTTGGACTGCAGCCTCAAGAGACCCCTGATCAAAGACACTGGCTCCTGCCAATACTGGGGCACATGCTACTTGGCTGCCCTAAACTAACAGCTCCAACCACCTGCTGGAGGGAGTGGGGATGGGGAGGTCCCACAGAGACCTGGTCTTTCCCTAGGGCCTGGTTCTTCACGTTGAGCTACTGTGCTGGTCCAGGCTCATCATACAAACTGGTACTTGCTCAAGCCTATGATGTTCAGGCATTGGCGTGGACATTCCCTCCCCTCCGCCCAGTGCTGCCTGTCCAACCCTAGTATCTTTTTCCAGGAAGCCTTCTCAGACTACACATTAAACCAAGCAAACCCCCTTACCCAGGCTCCTCTCAGCCCTTGGAAGCAGGTACCTATGCTCTCAGTGAGCCCACCCAGCCCAGCTCCACTGGGCTTAGACCTATCTATGCTTGGGGGTAACCTTGTGGTGCCTGATACAACCCCAGTGCTTACCCCTTCCCAAGAGGCCCATGAGGAATAAAACTGTGAGATCTTACACTGCAGGCCTAGGTGGTGCAGCTGGCTCAAGAAGCTGACATTGTCTGGCCCGAAGAAACTCAGGGATGATACTGGAGGCCAACTCTGGACTTGCTGCAGAGGAAGGTCAGGGTTCATCAGGGAGCTGAGGCCTGACCACCTCACCCAACCCTACAAGCTCACAGCTTCTTTGTTCTGTTCCTCGAGGTTCCCCAATAAGCTCTAGCCAGCCAACTGAGGGACCCTGAGAGTCCTCATTGCCCAACACAACCTGTGCCTAGAGACACAACTCAGAAAAGCCTCCAGGCCAGACGCTGCGCCCAGCTGTCCTTCCTGCTCTCCCCAGGTCCTGGCCCACATCCCTGCGTGGAGCCCCTCACCTCTCCTGCCAGTGGCGTCCTCATTCCCTGAAGATTCTTCTGGCACCTCGGCCTCAACAGCCTCCCAGGACGCGTCCGTTTCTGTCATATCTGTGTCTCCCTCATGTTCTTCTGCACCGGGAGACTCCTGTGCTACTGTTGCCTCCTTTGCTTTGTTCACACTTAAGCTTTCTCCCATCCTTTCTTTTGCCTCCTCCACGACTTCACTCTGTAAAGGCTCGACTCCATCTTCACCAGAGACATTGCTGCTGGTATTTGGGAAGTTCGCAGCAAGGGCACTGGCTTCCCCTGCCTTTCCTGCCAGAAGTTGGGCTGGCTCCTCATCACCTGAATCGGAAGAAAAATACGCGTGAGAAGCAGTAGTCCTCGGCTCTGAGAAGGGTAAGATGAAGTAGCCAAACTCAGCGCCAGGACATTGGTTTGGGGTCTCTTAGCACAACAGTGATTCTGAAGTTTGATGGAGCAGGAACCAACAGTGAGGAAATTCTGGGATTATACGCATGTAGGCTTAAAGAGGCAAACCAGGGACCTTCCTGGTAGCGCAGAGGTTCAAGTCTCAGTGCTATCAAGCTGTCACCAGCCACTATAGCACGAGTTCAATCCCCAGGCAGGAAGCTGACCCACATGGAGCAGAAGACCTCTTCTGTCTTGCCTACTGCTCCCCTCAGTAGTGTGTTTCAGTAGATCTGCCCGTTCTGCAAACCATTCTTCCTCTGGTGAATCTCCTCACAAGCAGTCCCTATACTTCTGGCCTGCACCCCAGTTCTTGTATGTATAAATAACTAAAAATAAATAAAAAAAAAAAAAAAGAGGGCAGACCACCAGTGACAACTCTCGCCCCAGTGAGGTCTGGCTCCAGGTCACCTGCCCCATACTCACTGTTGTTCTGCAGCTCAGGCCTGCTGTGCCATGCCCCGTGACCAACAGGCCTCTCAGCATCTTTAACTCCCATGGGAGCGGGGCACGGCAGGGAGTGGGGCACTCTGGGGGAAAGGCCAACCGAAGGCTGGGAGAAGGGCTGTGTGTCCTCCAATACCATGTCCGCTGGTGGGGCAGCAACAGGCGTTTGGCAGTTGTCACCTAGAGGGCAAGGGCCAGTTGGAACCCTGTATTCCTGGGTACTGGAACCCCTGAGTTTCTCTCCAAGAAGAAAAGAGACTACGTGACACCACAGGGCTCTCTGCTTACATTCCTGCTCCTCAACCTGCTATTTAGCACGCCCCGGCTCCAGAGCTTGCCCCATCCAAACCACTCACCTGTGCCTTTTCTCCACTTCTCATTCTCTTCTCCTCCATAAAACCCTTCCCTTACTCTGGTGAACTTGACTTATCTTCTGGAATCAGGCTCCCACACATCAGTTCTGCCAGGACAGCTATTCTCTTTCAGCCTCCCAACAATCTCTAATCACATCACACACCTTTCCTACCCTCAGCCCTTTCTCTCCTCAAGGATATGGGGTTCTTTCTAAAAGACACTGGAACTAAGACTGGGCTGTACTCAGACAAGGGAAAATCTGTAGAAAGAACTCCTCATAGACCTACAGACCAGATTTATTCATTACCCTTGACACAATACATAGTCACTGGGGCACAGCTTTCTTCATCGGCCAGAAGAGGAAAATCTTAACCTTACCTGGAAGAGCCAAGGCCAGGGAAGTATCTTTCAGGTCCTGTAAAAATGCACCCACATCTACAGCTCGGCGGGTGAGAGGTCTGCGGGCCAAACCAGGCCTCTGTACTGACTGTGGCTGGAGAGGTGTGGCAAAGGTCAGGTTGAGGGAGCTGGTGGAAAGGAAGAGGCACAATGGAAGTCAGGTACTTAAGACCCAGTCCCCCAACCCTCCTAGAGTTCCCCCACCTGCCCTGGAATTCTCATCTCTGAGAACACGGCCATGCTGTCAGGTTATAACTGACTGTATGACCAGATTCCATCCTAGTCAGCACCTCTCCTCCATCAACCCCCAGAATAGGCAACAGTACCTGGTGTGGGAGGAGGCATTTGCATTCCCCTGAGGCTCTGCAAGAGGATATATATAAAAAAAAGAAACCATGATGAATTACCCAGGCCCAGAAGAACCTTCTTTCTATTGCCTTCTCTTTTTCTTTAGAGGACAGGTGAAAAGTGTCCCAGAGTTTATACATAGCACTTCACCTTGGGAGAGAGGCAGGTCCTGATCCATTCCTTGTTGAAACACTGATAATCTCAGCCTCTGCTTCTTCCTGCCAGGAGCTAGCACACCTGGAGCTAGGGCTGTGGATGGCTCAAGCTTAGGAAGTTGCAGTTCCAGGCTACAAGGATAGAGCTGATCTCAGGCCAGAAAACCCAATTCTGGCTTTGGGGATTCCCAAGAGGCTCACTGGTAAGAGCTGCCCAACTACCTAGCCCAAGGTGGGAATTTACTCTGTACCTGCCCCGGCTATTTTCCAGTCTTGAGGGCTGGACAACATGTGGTGCTGGAACTGGCTTTACCACTGGTTCTGGTATCACAATGGAAGATTCTGGGGCTGCAGAAATAGCAATGAGAGGGTGAGGCTGGCAGGGAGACTGCCCTAAATAAGGAATACTGTGGCTGGCGGCATCCCTCATTCTAGTCATCAGACCAGGGTTCACGTACCAGTTAGTAAGATGTTCTTCAGGAGAGTTCGAGGCGTCTGCTCTTCCAGGTACCCACTGGCTTGGATATGAGTCGATCTGCCAGTAGACTTTGGGTAAAAGCACCAAGTAATTAGTCTGCTGTTTTGCCTTGAGATTCCCTCAATGTGGATTCCAGAGCAAGATTAGACAGAGAGCCTAAAGGCACCCAGATCCCTTTACTGGCCATTGGGCTGGGCACTTACCCTGGTTCTACGGGAACTCCTCCTGGCTGTCATCTTTGTTTGGCTGCTCCGCCTCCTGAGGGAGGGTGTTTCAGGTAGCGCTCCCTGGGCACTATGTAAAGACCAGTGTCTCTTATGTAGCAAGGGGACACTAGAGGAGGTAGAGTACCTTCACCAAGGATCTTTTACTATAGGATCAGAAACTACTTGCTGCTTCCATAGCCCTTCTTTCCAGCTTCATGCCATAGTTGAAGTAGAGCCCATGGAAAATAGGAGGAGAGAATATGATGACTCAACTACAGAAAAGGGCTATACAAGGCTCCACAGAGGTTACTTTGGCAGAATTAGGATCAGTCACACAAACAAGAGGAGTTACTGGAAGAGTATCCATTAGAGGAACAATCTAGAAGGATCTTTAAGTATTTCAAAAATTTTAACAATTTTTAAAATTGTTGTCAGAGTCTGACAACAATCTCCACAAGGTTCACCTCAGTCCTAGTCTCTCGAGTCCAGAGCTACATAAATGTTCCCAGGGTACTGCTCCCACTTCATAACTTCTAGGTCTAAACATACAGTGAGGGGTCTCACTGGTGGCGCAAGGAGTTAAGTCTCAGTACTACAAAGTTATCTGCAGCCACTGCAGCACAAGTTCAATCTCAGGCCAACGAGCTGACCCACATGGCACAGCAGCCCTCTTCTGTCTCACCCACTGCTCCCCTCAGCAGTGTATTTCAGTAGACCTGCCTGTTCTGCCCCCCACTGCGAGTGAGCCCCTTAATCCCCCTGCTCTGGCCTACAACCCAGCTCTTCTATGCGTAAATAAATAAAATAGGGCCCTCCCTGGTGGCGTAGCAGGTTAAAGCACAGCACTAAGAAGCTAAAGCCACTTCAGCATGCGTTTGATCCCCTGCCCTGGAGGTGACCCACATGGCTCGGGAGACCCCTCCTGACCCGCCCGCTGCTCCTCTCAGCAGTGTACTTCGTTCATCAGCCTGTTCTGCTCCCCGCTCTGTCTCTGGTGAATCCTCTCACCGCCCCTGCACCTCCGGCCTGTACCCCATAAATAAATAAACTCTTTAAAAATTAAGTAAGAGCATAGTGAAGGGCTGTCCAATAGCGTAAAAGAACTATGTAGCCCCATTCTGGCAGATGTCAACTTCCACAGTCTGCACTGTGAGCCCACCACAGCTCTCAACCACCAACATGCCGAATTCCCTGCCTCCCCACTTGTACTTAGGCTGTGCTCTCCAGCTGGGAGCTATAGAGGGTGCTACTAAAATTTGCAAGGCACGGTGGAACCACCAGGGAGGGAAAATTTGCAAGGCAAGGTGGGGCCACCAGGGAGGCAGTTCACAGCAGATACTGGATACTCTGGTTTGGAGACACAATGACATAGAAAAAAAGGGTAGAAACCAGTTCCTGAGCGCCTATTCTTCACCTCCAGAGGCGGACACCAAAAGATGTAGCACCCTGGTATGGCGTGAGGACACAAATAGCTGACCCGAGCACAGCTAGACGACTCGTAGACCTGGGCTTTCTGCTCCTCTCCAAGAGTTTCCCTTTGCAAACAGGATCAGCGACCTATGACGGGAAAACCGCCCCTTCCCATCACTCCCCGTGAGCTGTAGGCTCACATACCGCGTCCGAGCACTCCGGGGTCGTCGCGGAGTGCGTGGGTCCGCTGTATCCAGCACGTGCCGCAGCAGTGTGCGCGTCGTAGGTTCGCTGTCAGAACTGTAACTGTCCGCCATGGCCTCAGCTGTCCGCCCTCTCAACCGCTTGAATAGCGAAGGACTCCGCCTTCCCGCCGTCGCGTTTGAGCCAACTCTCGCGAGACGGCGAGACGGCCCCACGGCCCCACGGGAATTGTAGTTTTAGTCCTTCTGCCCCGCGGAATATCGCGTTCTGTGGTACTTGCTAACTGGTTTTGGAAGCATCTTAAGGGAGCGAGCACAAGTAAATTTGTGCAGCCAATGGGAGGCTAAATCGCCTCATCTGTGAGTTGAGGATGATACCCATATTCAATGAGATAACGCCCAAGTGACGCCTGACACATCTTAAGGCAAACCATCAATAAATGAGTCACCATCATTAGAATGTTTTTCATTTCCATCTGCCTCTCTGAAGATGAGACACAAAGCCAGGAAAACATAACTTTGTTTTATATGTGACCTGCTCAGCTTTGCATTTGCCAAGACAGCTCTGTCTATAGGGTCTTTATCTCTTAGAAGAGACCTCTTAGCTCACTGCTCCCCTCAGCAATAGACTTGCCTGTTAAGTAAATAAATGCTTAAAGGAAAAAAAAGATACAATGATTTTTTGCAGAATTTTATTTCTACTGCACACATTTTATAAAAATTTTTAACATATAACAAAATGTTACTATATAAATAAAAGCTCTTTGAAGAGGTTCAAGTTGTGGCCCTCAGCTGTACAGACCAGCAGAAGTAAACAGAAATACAATGGTAGCACTTGGGTATTAAGACCAGAAAAATAGTTTTTT